TATAATCGTGTTTTATTATGATATATTCGCTTGTGTCTGAAAAATAATTCCCTATAATAACTGAAAAAGAAAACATTAAAATACATTTTCGTAAAGCAACTATTTAAACAAAAAATTGACTCTGAATAAAGCATTAAATAAAAATATTAGATTCATGTTTAAAAGTTTGAATAAAAAATAAATAAAATTAATAACTATAAGTAGAAAATTATATAATAACTGAGAGTCACAAAAGACAAAACACTTAATGAAATAAACATACTAATATACTTTCGTTATTATAGGTAATGAAAATATGTGTAATAGCCACCACAGTTTTTAAACTGTTTACTTAATTCCAGCCAACATAATAATAAAATAAGTTGGTTTAAATATTCAATAGATAGATGTTAAATCAAAATACCACACTACCACATTTGTCATTTATTATAGATATTGTTGATTGTTTGAGTCGCTGTCTCTCCGTAGAAATTGTCGTCGTTATTATATTAGATTTTTGTGTATTGCATCATCGCACCTTAAAATCCTTRTCAGTTATCACTTATCAATGGTGTAACTCGATACTCGACCAGCTTATKGCAAATTGAGTGCTTTAGGCCGTCACGTGTTCGATATGACTTTCCGTATGCAAGAGCAATTTAAARTCGTAGGCTGTGTTTGTCGTTTGAGTGTCTAGCAAGTCAGTCATYATCGACGGACGGTGATAGTCTATAACTGACTATTAATTGAAGACACAAAACGTTGAGCAACAATAAATGACATTGAAATGTTTCGCAAAAATTCTAGTTTAAATGTTATATATAGTCATAAAATCACATCTTAATAATATATGGAGATGGTGCGTATAGTCATTCGCTTGGATAATTAAATCGAAAACATCCCTCTATAGTCGGTTTGATATGTGAAACCACCTTGATGGGTAGGTCTTGGAGTGAAAACACTGAAAACTATAAGTGTTTTACGGTTTAAAATCACATATCATGGACCCGGTGGCGTGGTCACTTGATCCCGTTTCCCGTTGTTTGTTAAACTATATAATATAATATAATGAACAATGATATAATAAAATGTATAAAGTACCTACCTAACTGATATTATTTTATCATTTAATATTTTAATTGCATATTTAATTCAAAGACAATTATATTTACTTATAAATATATTAATAAGTAATAAAGTTCAATCATTTACTAAAAATAAAAACTACCTAATACCTATATACATACATTTTCTACACGAACTCGTTTTATTAATAAAATAGTAAATATCAAACAAACATGCGAAACGGAGCGATGATGATAGAAAATCATCAGTTGTATTTCTAACTCCTTGCACAATTTAAACGCAATATATATACACTGATTTTAAACGACATGAAATGGGTCATATACTCATATACAAACAAAAATTTCAATCATGAATAAGAATAATACAATCGTTAAAATGACAAAATAGTGAGTTTTTCTACGGTTTATAATTAATTTCAAATTTTAAATACTAGTCGGGGCCTGGAAGACTGAACATCCTGACTATTTTGCATTTACGCTCTTGCTGTTTGCCAAGTAGGATTTTCAATATCAGTAGAAGTATGGTATAATATAAGACAGTGATGAACAAAATGTATTATATAAGTACGTATAAAATATCATAGCTTAATGTGTAAGCCAAAATAATATATATAGGTATATATTACAAAATGTTCAAAAAATTTACAGTTTAAGCACGCGTTGTWAAAATAAGAAATAATTTTCGATCATATTTTAAAATCATAAAATGTTGTTGATGAAACAAATAACCATAAKGCGCCCAATAAAAAGTATATAATATATTGAATTTTAATGTTATACACTTATACGTCGTCGAGCAACCTAGCGAAGTAGCGAGACTAGCGGGCGCGCTGCACTGGGCGTACATACCAATACATATTACGAGTATATAGGCTGTAATATTATTTATATTATATATTTAGAAAGTTTTGCATTCAAAAAACACACAACTATACAATATTGAACATATATAAAGATTTGAACCGTTTATCATTTTATGGGTACTAAACGGGTGTATAATAACTATAATATGAATAAACATAATAATTGTTATTAGTAAAACTCATAGGC